GTTGTCCCCTATTTACGGGATACCCGAGCCTCTCTAGTTTTTAATTCCTAACTGCAAGGGAGAGGCTGGTCCACCACCCCAGCGTTAATACTTGGGGCTGAGCAAGGCGAGGTGAGTTCAGCATCATGCTGGCTCTGAAGGTTCTCCGGAGAAGCACTGGAACGGATCGCAGCCAAATTTAATCTCAAAGAAATAAACAACTTCAGCTCCCGCGGCGGCTACACACGCTTCAGGAAATGGCTGTATTTTCAAAGGATGTTGAGGCAATGCAGTTTGCGAAGCGGTTTGGCTTCTTTGGCTTTAAAAACATTCTATGTATAAATTTACTCAAATGCTGTCATAAAAGCTCAGCTACATATCCTGGCAAAATATTATACGTAAGCCTTCTTCTAATTACATGCAAGCCTTCAGCAGATTGAACAAACAGTTTCTTGAGCATATGCCCAATGAGTTATGTTAGAAGGATAACTGTCTTGGATTTTTCACTGCAGTTTATCTTATTTATATGTTTTTAGAAGCAAGGAGGTTAACTAATTACCAGTCAGCTTTCCAAAGTCCCAATAGTCCATATTCTGTCAGCCTTCACAACTGAGGAAACAGGCTCCAGAAAGCAGTTTCTGACAGAAAATCGGGTATTTACCTTAACAAAGCAGCTGTTACCAATTCTTTCTAAAGCTGAATTCATTCCCTGCTTTTTTTCTTTTATGCCCTGACTGAAATCAGACTGGTAGAAAAGATCCCGACCATCTGCCCTACTCTTACGAAAACTTCTTCCCTTTGTTTGCCCTAATTAGCATTTTAATAAATCAACCAAATACATTCGCCTTAAAGCAGCTACTGCACAACAAGTAACCTTGGCGTTAACTCTCACGTGATTACAAATTCTGTGTTCTGAACAGGCAAAAGAGAAGACACCGAGACGCACGTCAGATTTCTGCACTTGGTAGTGCTGTTTACAGCGGCACGTGTGCCCAGGTGGTGCTTACCCATATGAAAACACACACAAGCAAAACCCCCACACTCTGTACATATGGCATTTTGTTATATATTCCATATAAACTTTGCATCGGGACTATACAGTATTATCTAGAGAGAACGTACAGAACTGCAGATGGTGTATTTAAGTATTGGGTATTCTTACTGCGTCATCTAACACTGCTTCTGCTCCAACCGAAACATTTCACAGGTTGTGGGTACCAAAGCAACTGTAAAAATGAAATTGCTTTGGACAGGCCCAAACTGGAAACACTTCTTCAATCATATTGTTTGAATGTCCACTGATTCAGGTGACTCCACCCAGCTACATCCCTCGGGTTCTGCAGATTATTTGTTCTTCCCAGGTAATGCTGGTTTAAATGCGAGAGGTCCGTGTCAGCATCCTGCTAAACAATTCGACTGAACTCAAGAGGAAAGAAAACAGAAACCGATGCCGAACACCCCTGTGAACTCTAATGCACAAATTTACATGATTTTGCTTTGGTTATTTGACCCATGAACTTGACTGATGCAGAAAAATTTAGGATTCTCTAAATATACTAGAAATGGAATCAACATTCAAGAAAGGAATAAGTAAATATAAAAAAAACCCAATGCTACCATGGTACCTTCTGAATAATCCAGAAAAAGTTTGTTTTAGTCGCATTCTCTTCTGCCAGCCATCACGAAGGAGCTTTTTAGCTATTCAGCCAAAGTTACAGAACATTTTGTAGTCTCGGAAGCTAATCTCCACACCCACATTATGATAATTCATGTTTTCTGTTTTCCTACCTTGATTCTTCAGCTGTCATCAAAAAAAGTCACTGATTAGAAAGAAAATACAGCAGTGGTTTGTCAGGAGCTTTTTCACATTATTCCCACCACGTTTAGAACAATGCTCCCTTGAATTAAGTGATCCGTAATTATATCAAACAACATATACTATCTGGGCAGTATGTGCTGTGGAAAAATAACAATTGCATAATTTTAGGAGTCTTAAATCCTGATTACTCAAGGGATAAGTGATGTTTAAAACTGAGCTAATCAAAATGTTTTGGGTTGTTTGTTGTTGGTTAGGTTTTTTCTTTTAACACTTCCTAATTTAGGCGAGACAATTGCCTTAAAAGGTGGCAACTGTGCCAACTAAAACGAGGGAGATGCTGGAACAAGTTAAGATTAAAAACATCAACAAAAATGAGTCTCTCCTTCCAAAACGTCTAGTTGTAAAATTTGCGTCGTATTTCCCTGAGCAAAGGAGATTGCTAACAGCAATCGCGTAACTAAAATCCACAGCCCAAGCTGCTGCTTTCTCAGTAAGTGGGTAATTACTTCTGTCTTTTAAACTTAAAAAATCAGTTGCAAGGAAGAACAAGTTGTAATCACTGTCAGTTCGCTGACTTAAAAGAGTTGTTGCTTTCGATAAACATAGAATCATAGAATGGTTTGGGTTGGAAGGGACCTTCAAGATCATCTGGTTCCAACCCCCCTGCCATGAGCAGGGACATCTTCCACCAGCCA